TCTGAAGAAGGGTCTTGACCCGAAACATCAGCTTTCCTGCTCCTCTGATGCTGTTTGGCCTGCTGTGTTCATCCAGCTCTACACTGTGTTATCTCAGATTCTCCAGCATCAGCAGTTCCTACTATCTCCAAAAGAACTGAGGTTGTTGTAACTCAGAAAAAAATCACTGTATCCTGATAAACAGAGTATTCAGCCAATGAGCTAGCGCCTGATGTTTAGAACTGTAACTTCTCTTCTGGGCCCTGCTGCATTCATGGCCACAACTACAGACTTGGGGTCATGACTCCCAGTTTGGGAAGCCCTGATCTAAATTGAGTTTGATGGCCCTCACGTAAAATGTATTAAAATAAGGGTTTGCAGTGAGCTGCAAAAATATGCAATCCTGCAGTACTTACAGTTTCAGTAATTTGCTCCTTTAACTCAGTGAAGAATCTGTCAATTACTTTTGTGCAAACGATAGATTCCATAGACTGCCTATTGAAGTGAACAAAAACTACATTTCATTAATGAAGTATGAACTGCAGATCCAAAAAGTGGCAAATAAAAAGGTTTTTATTTAAGTTGCTGCCTCCAACACAAAGAATCGTCATGCATGGGCTGCTTCATTTGCATTCTCGGTGCTTATTTTAGTGCAGGAATCACTTTTTTCCATTTGACAAATATAGCATTAGTGACACCGGGAAAAAAAAAAAGTCCTCTACCAGGCATCAACAACCCAGCAGATCCAGCATTGTGATTTTAGATTTCAAATGTTTCAAGTGGAACATGCTGGTGTTCAAGGAAAGCAATCGCAGGTTAAAAAGCAGTAGAAAACTCAAGATACAGAGTCCAAATGCTGCCATGAGAGATTTCTCAGACTGATTTTCAACATGAAATTCATGGATTACAACGTAGTACTCATACCTGACCATTCATAGTGGTCAAACGTTCCGCATAATATAGGGTGGGCTCTAGTTTACCTGTACCTGATTTGTAAAGATCATATATGATTGCATGGAAGCCTGTTTCTATATTACTTTGTAGCAGAACATTGCATACTTGGCCAACTATGGTTAAAATGTCTCATTGTAATGGTTGAAAAGCCCTCAGTTTCCTTCTCACATTTATATATAGGATTCCTCAACCTATTCCCAGGATTCCCTAAAGCTCTTGATATCCTATTACTTTTGATGGTTCATGTAGGAAAATGAAATGGGCAATTCTGCATGTAATAAATTAATGACTATCAAATGGATTTTGAGTCCTTGACTGAGAGAGAAACGTTGAGGATTATATCATATGCCCCTTTTAATCTTTTGAAAATGGTATGGAAGGTTTAGTCTTCAACTGTTAGAACTCTCACTGATTTTTAAGAAATTATTTTTAGTTTGGAGCATTGAACTGCCAGCTGAGAGTTGAAGGTGACCTTTGGACTACAACAAACAGCCTGTTTTTACAAAACAGGAGAACAAACGAACTGATATTTGAATATGAGGCCAGGCCTAGAAGTTAATAGAAGGTTGATTCTCGTTCAAAGAATGCTGTAGATGTTTCTGTTCTAGAGATGCACTCTGCACAAACAGCTAGCAGATATTGAACGTTAACTGGGGCCTCACAGGGAGGCAACCCATCTAATCCAGAGAACTGTGTTTAAGACACAACAATTGTGGCAGAAAAAGCTAAAGGATCAAGGTTTGATTGTTCCATGGTTTTCTCCCATGATCAACTTTTGAAAGTTTGGAGAATAGAATTTCAGTCACAAATATTAAATGAATATTCCTTGGAATCTACTAGAAGTTAGCTGCACACATGGATGCCTTCAGAAACCAAGCAAGACACAATCCATGTGCCTGTAATGTTACGGTGTCCATTATCACTTATTCACAAAGTCTGATAATGGTTATTCAAGTCTGGTTAGGAACCACTGGAATCGATTTTGAGGGTCATATTTTAATTTTACTGTGTTGGAAATACAGGGAGAGAGAGGCTGATTTGATTTTAGTTGTCTCCATATCATAACACAAGTGAATAGGCAGACGAGCATTAAAGGATTCAATAACCTTTCAAGCAAATTGTTCCACAATGGATTACAACAGAATGGCTATTCCAGCCTATTTTACAAAACTTATTTTGAACTTACTTGTATTCTGTAACAATTTCCTCAAAATTGTTGAGAACAACGTCCAGGTCGGTGATATTTTTTGTTAACCTCTTCATACCCTCAGGACATGAGATTTTCGCAGATGATGGACCAGCCTCTAAAAGATCAAACCAAACTAAAGTATCTGCTATTACAAACTGTTGTTCTATGGCATTGACATCAAATTTCTCTAAATGTCCCTGGAGTAGCGCATTATTTTTGAGGACTGTAAAATTATGATACTTCCTCCCTATGATTCGCATGTTTCAGAGTTGAAAAAAAAATCAGAAGGCTATAATGAATGAGAAAGGACACTGCGATAGGAAGAAGCAACAGAACATTTAAAAAATTCAGTGCTAATGCAGTGCCACATACGTAGGCCAACCTAACGACTGGCGTTCAAATCAAATGGCATAGAATCATAGAATAGAATCAGAATCCCTACAGTGTGGAAAAAGGCCATTCGGCCCAACAAGTCCACACTGCCCCTCTGAAGAGCATCCCACCCAGACCCATTCCCCTACCCCTGACATCCCCATGTCTAATCCACCTAACCTAAACATTCCTGGACACTATAGGCAATTTAGCATGGCCAATCCACCTACCCTGCACATCTTTGGACTGTGGGAGGAAACTGGAGCACCCGGAGGAAACCCATGCAGACACAGGAAAATGTGCAAACCCCACACAGAGAGTCACCTGAGGGTGGGATCAAACCTGGGTCTCTGGCGCTGTGAGGCAGCAGTGCTAACCACTGAGCCACCGTGCCACCTCAAATGGCATGTTCCTTTGGTTGTTCACAACAGTCAGAGTAAGGACTGTAATCAACTAGCCCATGCTAGCAAAACTCAAAATGTCTTGTGTTTTGTGATTCTGCAATTGGCAGCACATGCTGAACAATCCCAACTGAGTGTGCTAACAGCTACCTTAACAGCAAACTTAAGATAATCAGTTGAGCTCATAACATGACTTATTTACATTTACTGGAATCACAGAATTGGGGCAAAAGGCAGTGATTTGGCATCACAATGAACATTACGACTTGGTGCCATTTTCTTCATAATCCTGAATATTGTTTCCATTTCAATAATCATCTAATGTCCTTTTAAATGCCCCAATTGAATTTGCCTCCACCACACTTCCAGGTAGCGAGGTCCAGACCCTAACGACTCAGTGTGTGAAAAATTCATCACATCAC